TGGGTAATTTTGGTGGACAAGTTGTGAAAAAGTTTTTGAGTAAACTTCTTAAACCCACACAAAAGAATTCAAAGAATCGTGTAAAATGCAGTAAACTTGAGATTATGATTTGTGACATTAGAACAAACCATATGAATATGATAACATATGTATAACACTAAATTAAATAATGCTTTCTTGTATGTTTTTTTTTATTCATTAAACATGTTCTTTTAATTAATGTTTGTATTTAACATGGACCATTACTTCATTCATTATTTCTGATATTGCAGGCTCATTTTGTAAATGTAAGCATTTTAAATTTTAGACACGTGCAAACTTGGTGCTTAATGAAAAATGTGTCACATTTACAAAATTGGGTGATTGTGTTCACCCATCTCTACATAAACAGAGATTTGCACTCTGTTTATGTAGAGACAAAATAATTAGGTTAATCACTGTCTGTCATCAACAATTTAATTTGTGAAGACACTGATGAATGGTTCACCACAAAAAATCTTAAATGCTATCTAAATGAATTCTAATTTAAAAATTTAGATAAACGTTCTCATTTGAAACTTTATATACAACAAAATAAACTTAACATTAAATAAATATGCATTTTTTTGTTGGTAGTTTTGGATTTCCTACAGAGTAGGGGAAGGGAATATGTAAAATGGTATGTAAAATGAAAACAAAAGTTTCTAAGCAGTTGTACACATCAAAAAGTGTGTTTGTTTGTTTGTTTGTTTTTGTCACGAATACGGTTTGTGGCCTTCCAGCCGATTGCCACCAGAGGCCGCTCTCCCATTACATTGAATCTCACACCACACAGACTGTTACACATCCCCCTGGACTGCATTTCCAATCAACCATTGCAGTGTTTACACACACACAGCTGAATGCACTGATCACACACACACACACACACACAGCTGAATCCTATCAGACATGCTACATAAGCCATGGACTTCCTCTCTTTCACTGCCGAGTATTGTTCTGCATTTAGCACTCCCCAAGTGTTAGCTGCTTTACCGAGCCATTCCGTGTTTCTGTTTAGTCTCTAGTTTTGTTTAGCGTTTATCTCTCCTCTAGCGATAGTTACATTACTGAGCCATTCCTTTTCGAGACTTTTCGAGACTAGAGACGTAAAACTTTTCCCATTTTTAGTTTTAGTCTGGTCTAGTCTTTCCGTGTTGCCTTGTTGTCTGTTTCCTGACCTTCTGCCTGTGTTTACTGGATTACCCCTCTTGTCAAGCCCTCTGGATACTGTTCGCTGATCGTAGACCCACGCTAGCCCAAGGAATATTCTTTGTCTTGCCTGTGCCATACCTGTTTGCTGTTGTTCGACACTGCCTGTGTTTGACCACTTCTCTTGTGAAATAAAGCTTGCACATGGATCCGCACGTCTCTAGTCTCGTCAGCCCCGTTACAGAATACTCGGCCGCGCAAGGATCCAGCAGCTTTTCAGAGGAACATTGGCCAGGTATGGACACGGCAAGGATTTTGTTAGCCTTTAGACATGGTCCGCGATCGCTAGAGAACTATGTTCGCAAATTTTTGGCCATAGCACACTATTCGGATCTACCAGACTGTCTTTTGATAGAGTTTTTTTGTGATGGCCTTAATCAACCTCGTTCACAAGTCCACGTTTGTCACTGAGTTTGAGTTGAGATTGAGTTTTTTGGAATTTGCTTTGTTGACTGTTGGCTCTCTATTCACTGTGGGTATCGCGGAGGATCGCGACCCCTTACTCACTCGTGTAATGGCCCCCGCACTAGATTACGCTTACAAAATGGTGGCCACAGATGAGCCTGATCGCAAAATGGCGGACACAACAGCTCCCCGTTATGTGAAAGTTGATCTTCATGAACCAAGTCAAGTCACAGCTTATCTTCATGAACCAAGTCAAGTCACAGCTGTTCTTCATGAGTCAAGTCACAGTTGATCGTCATGAATCAAGTCAAATCCCAGTTGATCGTCGTGAGACAAGTCAAGTCACAGCTGATCTTCCTGAGTCCAGTCAAGTCATAGCTGATCTTCCAGAGTCCAGTTAAGTCACAGTTGATCGTCATGAGGTAAGTCAAGTCACAGCTTATCTTCATGAACCAAGTCAAGTCACA